TGAGTGCCACCTCTGACATGCGTGCCATAGGTTCGCCACCACTGTGCAAGGAACTCTTGGAAGAAAAGTGACATATCAATCAAGCAAACATGTAAACAATAAAACCAGGAAGCATGTTTCTTCATTGGTACCTTTATATCCTTTCATAGCAATGTATAGAACTTTTTCTAACCCCCCCCCACTCCAACCAACATTTCCATGGATAGAACGTCAATGCAATGTTCGTATTTCCAAATGTTGTATATTAAAGATGATCTCATTAAGGCTTGAAATGTTTGTCTTCTTTTAAACACTCCTTTTCCCCACCTCTAATTTTTAGGAGCTCTGTGCAGACCACACACATAGAACATACAGAGCCTTCATTTGAGTGGAAAATAGCTAACATTTGAACAGGTGGAAAAACACATTAATTGGCAGGATAAATTGCTGGATTAAGCTACTGCATTCAGTAGACGGATGTTTCAGTGTTGAAAAGTTATTTCCATTCCACAGCTATATTCTAGCTACAATGAAAAGAAGTCTGAGAAAAGATCATTTTACCAAAAGTCACAGCAGTACAGGGAAGATGAATATAAAAAATATCTTCTAAGCTGACTTGACAGAATTGTTGTTACCATCAAACAAACTGCAATAGTTAGAAAACTGAGCAACATCCAAATAGTTAGGTAAAAATGCAGAAAGCAATCAGCCAATTAGTTTTGTTTACATATCACTTCTATAATTAATGTCTTATTTGACTTCATACAGAAAACACATTACATGCTTGTAACTTGAGCAACTATCTTTATATTAAACATATGGATGATGGGACTATGCAGACTCTGTCAGAATCTTTTACAACTTTTGGTGACTTTTTGGCTGGAAGTAGACCTCTAAAGCACATGTTCCTAGGCACGGTTCTTGTTTGTACTCACTGTCTGAAGAATATCTAAGCAGCCTTTGAAAAACTACATGAACCTTAAATAGAAGTTTCTGACAAGAGAGTTGTAGATGCAGGTATAGATGAATCGGTGTCAGCCCTTCAAGGCAGACCCAACTGGGAAATCAAAGTTATAATCCTAATGTTAGTTTTGTTATAAGGTTTTCTCAAAATACATTTCTACCCTAGACTCAGATTTCTTTTATCTGACTGTTATCTTGGTTGCAGCACTTCCTACTGTCTGTCAAGATTATTTCTTCTGCCCATACAGTCTGCTGAAGGAAAGCAGAATGTTCAGTTTGAAGAAAAGACAACTGAGAGAAGACATGATTGTCAGGTGGGAGTACATAAAGGGAAGATGGCCAAGAACTATTTTCCATGGCCACTGAAACAGAAATAACTGGTACAAACTTTGTGATGCTGTGCATGCAATAGTGACTACTTCAGGAACCACAAATATATGTAAGGAATGTATTTTACTTTACTGTATGTGGGCATCAATATATGGATAAATAGGCTTATATGAATGGAAGTAGGACAGATATCCCATTACATAAATGTAAGTAATAGTAGTAGTAGTAGTAGTAGTAGTAGTAGTAGTAGTAGTAGTAGTAATAATAATAATAAGTAGTAGTAGTAGTAGTAGTAGTAGTAGTAGTAGTAGTTGGAAGGGACCTTGGAGGTCATCGAGTCCAACCCCTGCTCAGGCAGGAACCCTACACCATTTCGGACAAATGGTTGTTCAGTCTCTTCTTAAAAACGTCCAGTGTTGGAGCATTTACTGCTTCTGGAGGCAGGTTATTCCATTGGTTAATTGTTCTAACTGTCAGGAAGTTTCTCCTTAGTTCTAGGTTGCTTCTCTCCTTGATCAGTTTCCATCCGTTGCTTCTTGTCCTGCCTTCAGGCGCCTTGGAGAATAGCTTGACTCCCTCTTCTTTGTGGCAGCCCCTCAGATATTGGAACACTGCTATCATAACCCCCCTCATCCTTCTCTTCGTTAAACTAGTGAGAGAACACTCTTGCCAAGCATTATTTCCATCCTGCTTCTACTGTTGAAATGTTCATGTTGGGGAGGGTTCATGTTGTGCAAAGCTGGAACTTTGCACAAATCAAGGAGAGGTAAGCCAAAATCCTCACATTTCTTATGTTATGTTATGTACAGGATAATATGAAAACTATGTTGATGAGCTTTTGAATGAGTCAGCTATACTCAGGTGGAGTGATTATCAATACTATTTTGAAGGGATAATCTTGATTGTAGATATTGCAACTAATATGGAGTATTTCAAACACATCATTATGTGCTAACTAGTTTGTGACAATTTTAATTGGCCACAGAGACTGATTTTCCCAGGGCGATCTTTCACCAATGAGACTGTTCAGATCTTCCAGTGCTGTACCTATGCTCTAATCAAGTCCATCTACCCTGCTGTTGGTTGTCCTCTTTTCAACTTTCCCATTATGGACTTCTCCAAGGAGACAGGAACTTCATATTATGTGTCCAAAATATTAAATGAGAACTCTAGATTGATTTGTTCAATAATCCATTTACTTTATTTCTTGGTTATCTATGTTGGTCTAAGGAATCTTCTTCAACACCAGAGTTGAAAATACTTTACCCTGTTTCTTCAAAATCCAAATTTCATTTCCATTATAAATATATTTTACATGTGGTAAACATATACATACACACACACACACGTAGGTCTTTGGTTATTCGGGTTTTCTCCCGCATAAAATTGGAAGTGTCTTGGTGACATTTCAATGAAGTCCCATTTGTCATCTTCAGGCTGGTGTTTTCAGCTTCGAGCTTCGAGGAGCAATGTGTGGTCTTAGCTGTTTCTTCCTTTTAACTGCCAGTGGGGGTATGAACTGATTGGGTGGGAGCTTGGCTGTGTTCTGATTGGGTGGAGGTGTGTTCTGATTGGTTAGGGGCTTGGTTGTGCTCTGATTGGCTGGGGGGTTGGCTGTGCTCTGATTGGCTGGGGGGTTGGCTGTGCTCTGATTGGCTGAGGGAGTGTTCTGTTTGGGTGGGGGCTTTGTTGTGCTCAGGTTAGTCTGAGTTGCAGGGGGATTTAAGATGGTGGGCTGCCTTGCTATTTTTTGGCTTTATGTTCGTGGTCGTGCCTCATCTTCATGGTGGGTGTCAGTTTGCTTCATGTATGGATTGGAGGGGTTTAAAGTGGCTAATGATGCAGCTGTGGTCTGGCTTCTGGTTTGTAGTCATGCCTCATCATCGGTGTGGCTTTGGGTTTGCTTTTTGCGTGGATGTGTGGTGGTGACATCCTGTATGATTTTTGTGAGTGTGGGTCTGGTGTCATTTTTTGTGTTAGGGAGTCGTTTGTCAATAAGGGCGAGTTTCCAAATGGCTGGCAGGCGGGAGGTATCATCTCGCTTGTTCATGCTGTGTGGGCGTTTTTCTATCTCGATGGCTTCTCTGATTATTCTGTTATTAAAATGTTCACTTTTGGCAATGGTTCTGGTATTTTTAAAGTCAATTTCATGTCCTGTGGCTTTAAGGTGTTGGACCAGGGAAGCTGTTGGTTCCTCTTTTTTGACTGAGCACAGCCAAGCCCCTAACCAATCAGAACACACCTCCACCCAATCAGAACACAGCCAAGCTCCCACCCAATCAGTTCATACCCCCACTAGCAGTTAAAAGGAAGAAACAGCTAAGACCACACATTGCTGCTCGAAGCACGAAGCCGAAAACACCAGCCTGAAGATGACGAATGGGACTTCGTCGAAACGTCACCAAGACACTTCCAATTTTACGCAGGAGAAAACCCGAATAACCGAAGACCTACATACAAACACCCGCAAAAACCTCAGAAAACACACACACACATCTATCTATCTATCTATCTATCTATCTATCTATCTATCTATCTATCTATCTATCTATCTATCTATCTATCTATCTATCTTCTGTTCAATCATATCCAATTCCTGAGGACTGCATAGACATATTCCTGCAGGGGTTTTTTTTACAATATTTTTTAAATGACTTGCCATTTTTTTTATTGTTTTTCTGAAGTAAATGAATTTATATGGGATAAGATAAAGAAATAACCTTGGAAACGGTATGGAAGGATTTGCCCCATGCAGGCCTACTGGCTCTAGCCTTTGGACGATGTGCATGGAAATGTTTTCACCTTGATCACAGATTAACTTAATGATATGGATTGGTATTACTTACACAGCTGATTATTTTGATCACATGTAACAAATAACAAGCCCACCTTTAAATATATATACCCGGTATATATAATATAAAATTATAAATTATATAATTATAAATTATATATATAATATAAATTAAATATATAAATGAAATTTCATTTTAATGTATGCCAATTAGTATACATTCAAAGTGACAATAAAATTATTATTCTATGTCGTTTAAATACATTATAGAATTTGAAAATATGTCTTCCTCATATATTCATTGCAACAGTCTTATATCCATACCCCTACTTAAAGTAGTTAGCCTTGTCACCAGCAGAAATCAGATCTCCATTTCAGGTACAAGAATGCAATCCAGTGGGACACCCCCACACCAAGTAAATGACTGCACACATTCCTTAAAAGTATTTTTTAAAAGGTAAAGGAGTCCCTGCGGATTTTACTCCGCTAATCGTAGCCAACTATAGGGGACGGTGCTCATCTCCATTTCAAGACCATTGAGCCAGTGTTGTTTGAAGATATTACCATGGTTCAAGTAGCCAACATGACTTCACAAAGCAGTTATCTTTCCACCAAATAGATGCCTATTTATCTATTTGCATTTGTATGCTTTCAAACTGCTAGGTTGGCAGGAGCTGGGATACCAATGGGAGCTTGCCCCATCATGTAGAGTTCAGATCTTGAATCTGGACTGCTGACTTTCTAGCCAACAAACCCAGCGTCTTAACTGCACCACCCTCCTTAAAACTATATATCTGCTTTAAATGATAGCTTAGCTTGGTTTATAAAAATTTTCTACAAGAACCCATTTTTCAAGGGATGTTGTTAGTTGCCCTGAATTATAGCAGAGAAGGGTAGAAATATACATGAAACAGATAGGAAGAATTTTACTTACATGAATCCAATCCTTCCACCATACAGGAACTGAAGATAAAGAATGGAAAAAGTATCCCATGACTGATCAAGGCAAGCAACGATGTTGTGGTGCTCTTTGCTCCTACCATTCCATGGCACATCTTTTAGATACCAAAAGTTTTTAATGTTTAAAGTCAGATGGTGAGTCCAATTTTTACCTTCAACAAAAAGAGAAAAATAAAGCTTAGATAAAACATCCATAGTACAGAAAAGAAAAAGAACTGAGTATTTTGAACCTATGACAGTGGATATATTCCTTCAACAAGACATAAGTAATATTTCAAAGAAACACAAAACAACTAGAAATTCACACACACAAAAAGAATAACTATCTTGTCTGAATGTATTAGCACTCAGATAGATTGTACATAAACACTTTCAAAATGGAACTTGGAAGACTGTTTTTGTTTTAAAGAAGCAAATAATTGTAACAAACCTGCCTTGTCTCGTCTTTCCTGAACCAATTTTGTTTCCGTCTTTTTTTAAAAAAGGTTCAACTAGATAATTAGGATTAAAACATTAAAATCCTTAATAAACTACCTAGAAAAAAGACAAAAGACTGATGGCAAAGCACTCAAGAGAAAGAAATGTGCATATATACGCCACACAGTTGAAATGACTATATACAAAATCTAGCCAGAATAATAATCAAGCTTAAATATCAAAACATCACAAACATGAATTGCAAAAGGCTAAAACTATTTAAACTCCAGGAAGTGACATCATTTCTTCTTGTCTAATGATAATTAGATACAAGCCAAAGGTATATGTCACCTTCTATATTCAACAAAGTCCTAGAGCAGTATTTCTTAACTTGGGGAACTTTCTGGCTGAGGACTTCTGGGAGTTGAAGTGCACTTATCTTAAAGTTGCAAAAGTTGAGAAACCCTGTCCTAGAGTAAAGAACCTCTGGTAGTCAATCATGTATTTCATACAACATAAGTAATTCTATGATGACTTCACATCTTTTGACAATCAAAATTGGTATGTCAAATTAGAAATTAACTTTCTTAATTATTATATATGCATATTGGTATTCTTTCAAATGCTATATTGTAAAAAGACAATCTCTGAGGAGAGGACCTGCTGGAGCGTAAGAGCAAGAGATGCCAACTGCTAGTCAGACTTGACTGATGACATTAAACTCAAGGGAGACTAGGCAACAGGAAAAGAAAAGACATTTTATTTTGCTTGTGGAACATTAAATTTAGATTCATTTTTTCTTTTTTTTAAGAATGAGGAATATAAAATCAAAGACAAGTTAAAGCTAATGATCCATTCAAACCAGGCAATGGGGATATTTTTCCTCAAAAAAATCATTATAATTCTGATATAATTGACAGGCAGATAATTTCTGTCTCTGTGGAAAGAAAACAGGGAAAAGGATAGGAATTTAGGGAGTTGATTTTTTTTCCACAATAAAAGGAAGAAAGCTAAGAATCTACAGCAAACCTAGAGCCTCTTGCCTGATGGGATTTCTCATCTCCACTGTGAATGTTGGTCAAGAATTAAATAGCTCTTTTAAAAAGGCACAATATTTCAGAATTTGCTCAGTATGGTTTTCCCCTTTCACATATACTAATAAATCATGATTTGGCACATATTTTCATAGACTGAATTCCATGGGAACCACAGTGGGGGAGGAACTCTGTCTTCATGCTTTGGGTTTGGCTGGCCAGTTTCAAAAAAAGAAGCAAATTTTTTATAATCCCCAACACCAATTACGTAGAAGCAAAAAAGGAACTATAGATAATAACAAAACTTTTGAAAGTCTTTCCATGTAATATTATGTTTGTTTCAATTCTAAAAAAAAGGTTTTCATGGGTGTTTCACAACTATGTGTTTCACATCCTTCTCAACAGAATTCTTTTTATGTTCTGAGTATGTGAATCTGATTTGAGAATTTTTATGCCACAGTATACATATCTACTTTTTCAGAAATAAGTAAATATTATCATGTACTGTTCTAAACAACAAATAATATGAAGTAGTATGTTGATAAATTGGGGATCACAAGCAAACTTGAGAAAGGTTATAAATTTATTTGGAATTGCTACCAGAATTTTCTTATATCCTGCATAGATATGCAGAGCATGTTCTGACAGGGCTTTGGGTGTGCCTATGCAAAACCAGATTGCAACCAGAATTTACCATGGTGCCTGGATAAAGAAGCAGTAGCATTACCGTATCAAAGCACCTCTTGTTTTATCTTGACTTAACTAGCAAAGTGAGCAGCAAACACACAATGAGCATCTAGCTATTTATCAAAATCATTGATAGTAACGTTGTAAGATGGTGATTTCCAATCGGGCATCTAATATATAGTGATTTTCTTTTTTGTACAGCTATAGAAGTGAAGTTCAGTAATACAGTACTACCATGCTTCCCGAAATTAAGACTTGGCCGGCAGAAACGGCCCAAAAAGCCATGCGGCATCCTGCCGTGAGCAGCAGACATGGGCCAAAGCACTATGCAGCTTCTTGCTGCAAGCAGTAGAAATGACCCAAAGAGCCACAAAGCGTCCTGCCGGGAGGAGTGGAAATGGCACAAAGCACCATGCAGCGTCCTGCTGAGAGTAGCAGCAATGGCCCGAAGCGCTATGCAACCTCCTGCGAGCCACATGGCTTGACAAGTGTCGAGGAGTGGAAGGCCTGGCTGTGAGGGTCCTACCGGTAAGATAAGTGGGTGTGGGGCGTGTGGGGCAGGTTCACCCCCCTACCCTGCCCTAGCTTGATTTTTAGGCATGCGCCTTGCGCCAAAACTAGGGCTTATTTTTGGAGTACCACTTATATTAGGCCAACCCCCAAAAATCAAGCTAGGGCTTACTTTTTGGCTGAGTCTTACTTTCAGGGAAACACGGTAATATTGGTGAAGTTCAATGTCCTTATTCATTATTTTAGATTTCTAACTTTTAAAAAAATAAAAAAAGGTTTAGGTCATAGAAGAAAAGTTGAATATAATTACGCTACCAGAAGTGTTAATAAAAGTAATCTTATGTCAAGAAATTATGATGAGAATTATATGTCTTTTTGGATTCACAAGAGTACTTTTTACTGTGGAGGAACATTTTGTGTTATTTATCAGAAAAGTCTGTTCAGTTGGAATCTGACGTCAAGCATACTAAATCAACCTCTACAAACAAATCATGGAGTCTTAGATAACAAACCTCACAGGGTTGTGGTATTTTGTTCTTCATTCCAAGAAGAGATTAAATGAAGAAACAAAATGTTAAACATTAAGAGCACCATTTCAAAATCACATCTTGCTACTTATCAAGTTGCATATAGAATCATGTGCTACAAAAGTCCTACCAGAATATTTGACAGCTAGATTTTTAGGAAGGATATTTGATTTGCCAAGGTGACCAGTTTATCATAACTACTAAACTCCCTTCATCAATGAACAGTTACCAAAAAAGTAGACGTATTGTACTGATTCATACAAGAATATGAGTCTATAATTGAGTTCAGACATCCATCCCTGACCTCATAAAATATTGTCCTGGAGGCAAGGTCATAGTCACAATCTTCTTTGTTCCATTCCCCTAAACATGAGTACAGTGTTATTGGCTGTATTATGCCAAAGTTCCCAACTGTTTTTATTCTTTCTTAATGTCACTTAAATCAAAGTAATAGTCTTATCCTGGTTTTGTCTGCACACTGCAGAAGTCTGAATTAGACTTGTGATCCTTTTCAACTTGCTAATTACACTAAAACCAAGTTTCCTAACTTGGATGAATAGAACTTCATAAAATTTCATGTTTCTACATGAAAATATACCTAAAAGAGGAGAAAGAAAAAAATGGAGCTATTTCATAGGTTCTGTTTTATAATCTTTAATAATAAAAGATCAAACTGTATACCTTCAATAAATTATATTTATTTAAATACTAACTATCTGAAGCTTGAAGTTAGCATGCATATAAAAGCTGTGACAAGTGAGAGGAAACCAGTGATTCATAGGCTACAGCCTATATAAACATATGTCAGCTATCAAGAAACTAGCCAAATGTCAACTTGGATCTCAGGAAGAAAAAGCCTCTCTCCCCTTGTTCTCCCCTCCACACATACAAACAAATGTGTTGGGTTAAAATTTCATTCTTTAATCCAGTCAAATTGTGTCTGAGAATCTTCTGCCAAGTACTGAATAATGTCTGAAGAGCTGCAGTTTGCTGCTGAACTCTGGCAGAAAGTGTGATGGTTCAAGCTGTAAAATAACCTTGATTATACTGAGATAGATAGATAGATAGATAGATAGATAGATAGATAGATAGATAGATAGATAGATAGATAGATAGATAGATAGATAAAAAGAAAGAAGATTTCTTTCTCCCATATTTGGGCCGACAGGGTGCATCAAAAAACACTCAAGGTAAAATATATTCTCTCTCTCTCTCTCTCTCTCTCTCTCTCTCTCTCTCTCTCTCTATATATATATATATATATATATATATATATATATATATATATATCATAGATAATTTGGTAATATATAAATAATATAAACAGTAGTATAACATATGAGGAGGGTAATCAGGTGGTAAAATGTGACCTAAGGCAACTGATCAATGGATCAACCAACTCTTTGTATAGGAGAAAAATCAGATTCTAATACAAGTTTGTTCAGAATTCTGGATTATACTAATTATGTCAAGTATATTTAACAAAAATGCACTGAAACTTCACAACAACTGCTTGTACAAAATAAGATTATAACTACAGTCATTTTAGCATATTCAAGAGGCAAAAACCTTGAAGTAGGCTAATGAAAGAAAGACTTGTTTAAACCAGACTGCTTTCTAGTTGTTTGTTTTAGCAGTTTGATCAACTGAAATAAAGTTTCCTAAAAATGGGAATGTAGAACTTCTGCTGTTAATTATTCCTGTACGATATACTTCTATGTGTTTATATCTTTTATAAAATCTGAGGCGACTTATCTTGCACTTCTTTTGTAAGCCTCAACAAAGAATGTCTAGTTTGGGAAGAGTAATAGAAGAAATAAGCAATAAAAGGGAAAGAAAGCCTGCATCTAAAAAGTTAAATTTATTTATTAAATGTACCAATCATTTTTCACTGTTAGAAGTAACCCAGAGCTAGATATAAAACACAATAAAATAATAGAACCAAATAAAAGAGTCTTTGGAGGTCATCCCAAACTT